TTGCCGTGGTCAGTGGTCAGTCCCCTCTCTGTCCGCCAACACCGAGTGTCGTCTCCCTTCTCTCCGTCCGGTCCCAACTGGGAAGGAGGGTAGAGAGAGAGGTGGTTTCCAAGTGGACAGACTTCCCACCTCCCTACTTATGTACACAGCTACCACCATTGTGCTATGGGTTGTCCAGTTTGCCGCCATCATGTCGTATCACCAGAGATTAATTACAACTGACGGCTGTCGGCGACAAATGGTTCGTCATTTGTTAATACTTGACAACCTCTAAGTTTCTATGAAAAGATCTGATCTCAAATCCACCTATTGATATCATTTTTCCACATTTATTAGAATTCAATAAATTTGTTAAAAGGGAGAGAATTATTATAGCTTTTGCTTACTTCCCCTTGTGATAGAATTCATTGCTTACCTTCACGGGGAAAATGACAGAGATTCTGAGGTTATTTAGGGGGGGAGGGGGAGCGGACGGAGTAAAAGGAGGGGTCACTCCCAAATCTGTCCTCCGACCTGTCATGGTTTGTTTGGCGTGAATACGTACACAGCATATTGAGCCGATCGTGAGCTCTGTGGTTGCTAGATGCCTCCCACCCTCCCCCTCCTCCCATATACCCTTTACAACTTCCCCCTCCTCCCACACACCCTTTACACCATCCCCCTCCCACGACAGTCCCCTACCATCCACCCTTGACCATCAATAATTTATTTATAGAGGCACCAGCCATCCATGTACAGGTGCTGTTTTAGCCTGTTATCTACCCTTGAACATCGCAAATTTCCTGTCTCATTATCTCAATCCCTGTCCGCCCCTTGGTGCTCATAATAATATGACCTTATGCAGTTGCGAGTGCCATAAAAACCTTACTAAAACAAATGAAAAATGATGAATAAAGAGATGAAAGTGCCACATGCTCATATAGATGAAGAGATGAAAAGTCCCACGTCCACAAATGAACAAAGAGATGACAAGTGGTACATACACAGATAAATTAAGCGACTAAAAGTTCCACCTTGATTGATGAATAAAAAGATGAAAGTGCCACTCACACACAGGTGAATAAAGAGTATGGGGTATCTCGATCTTTCTGCTGGAATGTTGTGTCACATACACAGATAGATAAAGAGACGAAAATTGCCACGTCCACTGATGAATTAAGAGATGAAAGTGTCACACGCTGGTATAGAAAAAGAGATGAAAATTGCCACGTCCACTGATGAATAAAGAGATAGGTGAGTCACATGCTGGTATAGAAAAAGAGATGAAAAGTCCCACGTCCTGTGCTGAATAAAAAGACGAAAGTACCCCTCCCAAACAGGTGAATAAAGAGGAGGGTGTAGTGTCTCGATCTAAATGATGGAATGTTATATAATCCATTTCAGCCCTTGTTGGCCTTAACAGGCAGCTTCCGGAAGCCTGCCTCCTGAATTATCTAAAATTGTGTCTATGGGGCGTAATTAAGAACACCTGCATTAAAACAAAAACAAAAAACTCTACCTGTAGATTCTGTATAAAAATCTGGCTGTGGGACCCGCATCTTGGCCTCACAGGTGTAGAGTGTGTGCGCGAGTTTATTGTCGTGGGACGGCCTGGCGGCTGGCTCGACGAAGACAAGCTCATCTTCTGTCTGGATGTAGCCGGCCTGAAATGTAAGGATACACAAAGTTGTTCCCGCTTCCGATCCGGAAATTGGGGATTGCCTTGTTAGTGAGACAACTTTCTGGACCTTCGACATATTATTGTGGTTGGGTGGCCAGTTCCTTTCCACGCATTTACAAGGATAATATATTATATTATAAGGATCTACAAAGTAGAAAAGTAAACGGTCTCTCTTTGAGCAGAGCTTCTTATTAAGTTGTTCGTAATAGTTTTGTTGTTTTTCGTTAGCCTTTTTAAAAAATCTACATATTTGTACAAATGTATTATTTATTACATATTTATAAATACATTTACATGTTATCTAAAAGCAGACATCGATGTAGAGTCGAAGAAAGCTGTGCAAGCGAGTGGTTGACAGGTGCTCTGGTGTGGTTTGCTCCTTCTTTCCCATCAAACGTCTATCGTCCTTATCTCTTTCCCTTTTGTGTATTTGTTACTCTCTTGTAGCACTTCTAATCTTCGGCACTTTTATGATCTTATTCTGTCCTCGGGGTTTTATGCACCCCGCATAATTTTAGCAAATTTTGACAATTTAAAAAAAATAATTTCTGATTATTTTTCTTTGTCATTCTTTGCTAAAATTAACAGAATCGCACAATTTCACATTTTTGGCCTCAGTTTGTATAATTTCAGAAATTTGTTTTTAGCATAAGGCCGAGGGGACAATTTATTGTGTTGCAAGTGCCGAAAAACTCTCACTAAAACAAAAAAAAACACACAAAAAACGAAAGCTCTAATACAAAGAAGAACTCACCAAACCGTCGCAAGCAGACAGAGCCACGTAGGAGGCGTCCTGGCCCACGATATAACCCACGTAGAAGCATTGTTTGTCTGACACCTGAGCATACGTGACGTTCCCTTCCTCCCACTCGGTCAGAGTGCCGGGTGAGGTCACGAGGTTCCGGAACAAGAGGACGTCCAGTTTCTGACTCCGCCATTGGAGAGTGACGTTGAGGAAGTCGCTGGGTGACGCCCCCTCCGCGAGAGATACGGGCCCGGACACGTCTGTTACTTCCGGGAAGGAGATCTCTGTCCTTTTTGCCTTACACGGGAGTTTGAAGTCGGACGAATCTGAGGGCGGTAGTCAAGTATTTGAAACAGATAGACGGCTAGGGTTATGGTTAGGGTAAGGCTGGGATTAAGGTTTGGGTTTGAGTTTGGGTTCGGGTTTGGTTTTGGGCTTAGGTTTTAGTTTTGGTTTTGGTTTGGGTTTGGTTTTGGGTTTGGGGTAGGGTAAGGGTTATAAGGGTCAGGATTATGGTCAGGATCAGAATTAGGGTTAGGGTTAGGATTCAGGTCAGGGTCAGGGTCAGAGTCAGTGTCAGGGTTTTTTATTTTGTTTGTAAGGGTAGTCGCTCGTAACGGAATTCATCCCTCCAAAATTGCGCATATGACGTAATTTCAGCTCACTGTTGAGCTCTGTCTATTTAGAACCAAACGAAGGGCAAGAAGCGAAAAGGTACGCTCGTTCAATACTGTATCCAGACTTGTATTTTGCCCTTCATTTTTTCTGGGATTCAAACCAGAACCTTTCTTTACACGAGAGTTTGAAGTCTAACGAATCTGAGGGAGGGAATCATAGACTTGTTTTTGTAATATCCAAGATTGAGCCCTTCTGGCGAAATTCCGGTTTACTACGGAGCGCAGTCTATTTGGCACTAAATACAGGGCAAGCCGGGGGGGGGGGGTACTACTTGTACTCTCGACTATAATGAGACTTGCGTTTGGCCTTTCATTTTACTGGGATTGGAACCAGGGCCATCTGGTCCCTGGTCCACCCTGCTACCAACTAAGCTCTATTGTTTGGAAGGGGGAGAGGTAGAGTTGGAGAGAAGAACGTGGGTTTTGGTATAGTTTTAGGGAACGGGTAGCGGTTAAAGGGGGGGGGGA